GCAGCTGGACCCTGGTGCGACCATCACAAAGCAAGAGACCTGAGAACTCGAAAGGCAAGGCTTACTGAGACATTTATCCCTCTGCCTTACTTAAAACCCCACGTGTTTATCGGCGAGGTTGGCACAATAAACTAACTAACTCATCCACAGAGTGCAATTCTACTGACACACATCTTGCCATCATAAGTCATGGCTGACTCGCTAGCAACTAGTTAAGGAAACAGGATAAATCAGAAATGCATTCATTGTATAAAACCTAAATTTGGGCTTGGGAAAATAATACTACCATAACCCCCACTCCCACCCCATCACCCCTCCCCCCAAAAACCTTCACTGCCATTGAGTTGATTGAGAGTCACAGGGACTCTGAAGGACAGAGTAGAACTGTCCCTGTGGGTTTCTGAGATGATTAACTCTTACAGGAGTAGAAAGCCTTGCCTTTCTCCCAGAGCAGATGATGGTTTCAAACTACTGGTCTTGTGGTTTGCAGCCAAATGTATAACCTCTATGCCACCAAGAATTAAAAACAAAAAATCTTTCCTTGGCATTCCTTTTGCATTTGATCATGCAACAAAGATCACGTTTTACGTTTGTAGACAGTAGTAGTGAAATCGCAGTAACCACAAGCTGGTGGGGAGATGTCTTCTGGAAATCTCAATGGATTTCCAGATGATAAGGGGGAACTGCACATTTCATACCATTATCTCCTTCACCCTTTGTCTGCTCTGTTCCAGGCAGTCTACAATCTGAAGCAGGGATGTGATCAACATAGTTTTAAGAACGTAAGCAGTAAAAAGACTGTGAATAATGTTGATCATTCTTTATATGAGCTGGGGGTGGGTGGGGTGGGTGGGTGAGGAGGTAGAGGAAGTATCTACCAAGCCAGGTAGCCCAGGGCTGACATCAGCAAGGGTGCAGTAATATAGGGTACATCGGGCTGCAGTTGCTTAAAATTGTTTGACATGTCTTCATTCAGAAAATAAAACCCTGGAGGTAAAAAGCTCTGATAATGAGTGTATTTTCTCAAAATTAGTTGCTGCTATCTACTTTTCATTTTGCATGTGGGACTTTTGGTGTTATTCAGTAAGTCAAAAATTTACACCGAACTCACATAGTTTTAAATTACTTTTCTTAAACACCCTCTTTCCAGTGGTAATTTGCTCACAGGTTAAAAACACGTCTTTCAAATGTAGACACATAAAAAGCAAAAACTTCTGGCCACGTCTGTGTCCCACATCTGGGATAAAGCATGCATGAAAACCCCCAGAGGAAAGGAAGGGAATTCCTCAAATTCTTTAAAGGGGAAAGGTTACAGAACGCAGACCAGAGAAAGACAGTTTTATATAAATAATGAGCAGTCGGTTTCAATTATTAAACGGAGAACCTGATGGAGAGAAACCAACCTCCCAGGCTGACCACAAAGTGTTTTTCCAAAAACTGCCTATTGACACGCAGAAAGGAAAAAATGTATATAGAAAGAATGTAGCACTCTCTGCAAATCAATCCAAATTCTCACCTAGCTGAGTTCTGAGCAAGGCTCTGCAGCATCACCAGCAGATATTAAATTATGCTAATTTTTAATAACTCGAAATGTGCTTTTGGCTAGAAATACCAAACTCAGTGGCAGCAGTCTTGTAAAGCATGCTAAATTTATCTCGAGATCAGAACTTAAGAGTGAAAGATGATTTAGCCATGCTACACAGAAAGAACTCTAGGATTCGACCGATATCATGTCCAGCACTCAGAGCTTCAAGACTGCTGACTGAATCCTTCAGGGTCTGTGGCCTACCCAAAAGAAATCATCTTCAGCGAACAAGTCTGAGGGAGGGAGACGTGGCCTCTGGGAACACAGAGGCATGGCAGGTCGGAAGTGAGGCTCAGCCTCCTGGGAACTTACCTCTTGCCTTTTTTCCAGAGAACAACATTGCTAATAAAAAAAAAATCAAAACAAACAAATTCTGCATATAGTACAGCCCCTACGGCAGTGGTTCTCAACCTGTGGGTCGTGACCCCTCTGGGGGTCAAACGACCCTTTCTTAGGGGTCGCCTAATACATCCAGCATAGCAGATATTTACATTACAATTCATAACAGTAGCAAAATGATGGTTATGTAGTAGCAACAAAAATAATTTTATAGTTGGGGGGGGGGGGTCACCACAACATGAGGAACTGTATGAAAGGGTCGCAGCGCTAGGAAGGTTGAGAACCACTGCCCTAAGGTCTAAGCTTGCATGAGTCCATCACAGCAATTGGCATGGTGGGGGTTTTAGTATGCAAGATGAAGATGGGTTAGAAGTTTCTCCTTCAATTGCCCACCTCAGCCCCCAAACAGGCTTGAAGACATGTTCTCTCAACTACATGTGTGTGGGAAATCAAGCTCTGGGTAGAGTGGAGAGCTTGGGCGGTGGGGCGATGGGTGACAAGCTATCTGGAGACTAGAATTTCTCCCCTCTGTACACAAATTCCCTGGAGCTGGCTGAGCCCATATTAAAAATACATATATACACTTATATGTTATATATCTTTTTATATGAGCTCAGATATACATCTGTATATATATACATCTATATATTCTGACTCATAGCCTTCCAATTGACAGAGTCAGAACTGCCCCTAAGGGTTTTGGAGACTATTAACTTTTATAGGAGCAGAAAGTCTCATTTTTCCCCAGCTTTTTCTCATTTTTTTTCTTCATTATTTTTGTCATTTTCTTTTTTATTATTTTATCGGGGGCTTGTACAGCTCTTATCACAATCCATCCATCCATGTCAAGCACATTTGTACATATGTTGCCATCATCATTTTCAAAAGATTTCTTTCTACTTGAGCCCTTGGTATCAGCTCCTCATTTTTTCCCTCCCTCCCCCCTCCCTTCCTCACAATCCCTTGATAAGTTATAAATTATTATTATTTTTTCAAAGCCTCATTTTTTCTCCTGGTGGTTTCACACTGCTGACCATGTGCTGACTAACGTGTGATCCACTAAGTCACCAGGTATCCATATATATATATACACACACAACACATGCACACACATATGTGTGTGTATCAATTCTAATTGTATTCCCCTGTGCATACCTCCTTCCTACCAAGGGCTGCTCCCACGGATCTCTCTCAGTAGAGGGTTTATATGCCGCCCGGACAAAGCTCAACTCTGATCCCAGCCGTTTGTGCCGCATTGCTTCCATTAACGTAGGACATGCTTGAGTATATTTCAACAAGAAGTGTTGATCCTGAAGCACAGAACCTCATTAAAATGTTGATGTGGGAACGATGCCATCAAAATGTGCCAACGGTTATTAAAGGTTCCTTGGTTACTGCTTCAAATTCATGTCAGAGCAACAGGGCTGCAATGTTAATGCATTTCTGCACATAAATCTTGTTGGGAGACCATGTGGGCCAATGCAGAATCCGAAGGAATTCTGTAAACATTCCCCACAAAGACTGCCTGAGGTAAACAGCCGCAGTGGCACAAACCCTGCGCTACCTCCCTCACGTCCCACTCAGAACGTCCAGCTCTCCACGCTCTCTCAGCTAGTAAAACCTTTGCTCATCTACCCAAAGAGTCGGTTTTCCCCGAAACTGGAAACAACTGAGTCACACTGGACTGTTGCTTACATGCCTCCCAGAAGGCCGGACCATAGTTTCATGTTCGCATTCACAGGCTTAGCAGCACCGTAGCAGGCTATGAAAGGCAGCTCAGGGGCGCTGGCTGAACGGGACTAAACTTGAGGGCTTAGGAACGGGTACTGTGCAGATCATTATCCAACTACGTCAGCAAGAAGTCACCTTCCCCCGGAATTTAAGCTGAGACTTTGGGAATTTCCAGGAAAAGGAAGCAAATGGCAAAAGCACTCACAAAGCCTAGAAACTCTCATTGCTTAAAAAGTATTCAGTCATTTAAAACAAAATAAAATACATTTAACTACAGGGTAACCCATATTTACTTTGGATCAACAACCTAAAAGCAAAACCAAAATAACCTGCTGCCACGGTGTCGATTCTGACTCAGCGTGTCCGGACAGGAGAGAGTAGGGTG